TTTGGATGCAGATTACTGGTAATACTTGGCGCAGTTTGGATGCAGATTACTGGTAATACTTGGCGTAGTTTGGATGCAGATTACTGGTAATACGTCGCGTAGTTTGGATGCAGATTACTGGTAATACGTCGCGTAGTTTGGATGCAGTTTACTGGTAATACTTGGCGCAGTTTGGATGCAGATTACTGGTAATACGTCGCGTAGTTTGGATGCACATTACTGGTAATACTTGGCGTAGTTTGGAGGCAGATTACTGGTAATACTTGGCGCAGTTTGGATGCAGATTACTGGTAATACGTCGCGTAGTTTGGATGCAGCATTACTGGTAATACTTGGCGTAGTTTGGATGCAGTTTACTGGTAATACTTGGCGTAGTTTGGATGCAGATTACTGGTAATACTTGGCGTAGTTTGGATGCAGTTTACTGGTAATACTTGGCGTAGTTTGGATGCAGATTACTGGTAATACTTGGCGTAGTTTGGATGCACATTACTGGTAATACTTGGCGTAGTTTGGATGCAGATTACTGGTAATACTTGGCGCAGTTTGGATGCAGTTACTGGTAATACGTCGCGTAGTTTGGATGCAGATTACTGGTAATACTTGGCGTAGTTTGGATGCAGATTACTGGTAATACTTGGCGTAGTTTGGATGCAGTTACTGGTAATACGTCGCGTAGTTTGGAGGCAGATTACTGGTAATACTTGGCGTAGTTTGGAGGCAGATTACTGGTAATACTTGGCGTAGTTTGGAGGCAGATTACTGGTTATACTTGGCGTAGTTTGGATGCAGTGTACTGGTAATACTTGGCGTAGTTTGGATGCAGATTACTGGTAATACTTGGCGTAGTTTGGATGCAGATTACTGGTAATACTTGGCGTAGTTTGGATGCAGTTTACTGGTAATACGTCGCGTAGTTTGGAGGCAGATTACTGGTAATACTTGGCGTAGTTTGGATGCAGATTACTGGTAATACTTGGCGTAGTTTGGATGCAGTGTACTGGTAATACGTCGCGTAGTTTGGATGCAGATTACTGGTAATACTTGGCGTAGTTTGGAGGCAGGTTACTGGTAATACGTCGCGCAGTTTGGATGCAGATTACTGGTAATACGTCGCGTTGAATGTTTAACAAAAATGTAATTTTGACACTAGTTCAGCCGTAGATCTATGTTTTCTTGATCAGTTATGTCTTCATTCATTTTTCGCTCCCCCGAGATTGTTCTAATTTAATGTTAGTACCAGCACCTTATATGCTGCGATTCTGCTTGTCGTCTGCAGTGCATAAGTTGCAATTGTAGGTAAAAAATATGAGTGTGTTCATTCATTTGCCACTTTAACTAGAACAGCGATCGCATTCATTCAATTCATTCTTTCATATTTTTTTACAACAGTCGACACGGTTAGCCATTGCAAAAAAACAACGTGATATTCCGTCAAAACACGGAAAGACACGAGTACGTTCAAAAAGCTTTCATCACGAATCGCCTCTTTCCGTGTCATCAGGCTTGTCCCGGTACTGCTGAAGTTGGTCACGAAGGCTTCCAATCTTTTTCGTGCAATCTTGAAAACCTCCTCACTGCTTCCCGACTCAGTTTGCGCGCGTCAGCTTGCACCTACACTTTTACACAGGTAATTTATTGCCAAACAACAGTTCCGAGGTGATGACCTCAAACTGGCCTGTGGATTGTAACAGGTGTAAATATCACCAGAGTAGGGGGTGGTCTCAAAACATTGTTATTGTACTTTAATGACATGGAGTAACAGGGGGAGCAATTGAAAGGTGTAATACGTTATATTCATAGGCGCCCGACTCTGATATATTTATAAGCATGACCTATATGTATATAAGATATAAGAATTTCTTATATATATAGGTCATGCTTATAAATATATCACAGTAGGGCGCCTATGGTTATATTTGCTCGGGAAAATGATGGAAACGTAGGAATCAGGGTGATTTTTGAAAAGTTGTGGTTCCTGTTTCTTTTTGATCGGTAGATTGTTTATTTAGCCTTAGCCGAGAGCCGCTATGAGTCCTTTACAAATTACAGTCATCGCGATGCAAGGTCATGTCTAGACTGTATAGGACCGCATCGCGTCCCTCAGCTGCTTTATTTATGGCTAGGGGGAGTGATGATGATTTTTATGGAGAATCATGTACAATGCGAATGACCCCCAAACAAAAAAAAAAAAAAAAATATATAAAAAAAAAAATAAAAAAAATATATATGTACAAGGTAAAAAAACCCAGCTGCACTCCCCCATCCCTTCCCATAATTTTTAAGCATATTTTTAAAATATGTAAAAGTACAAAATTGCTGACACCTTAGTACATCTGTACAAAAGTGATGAATTGATGACCACACCCACACACCCCCACCACCTCCCCAGAACAAAATATGGGTGACCCCTCCTTAAAATCATCTCTCTGGCTTTCTCGTTGGCAGTACAAGAACATCTCTAGCTTTTTGTGTTTGATGTGACTGTAACAAAGTACATTATCTGTAGTACCTGTGCTGGCAACAACCCCTTCATTACAACAAAGGCTCCATTAATTTACCCTTTGAAATCTGAATGTTTATTGGGTCTTGCCACGAACTCTTTACAGTTCGCCCAGGTTGAGCTGATTTCTGACTGGCATGCAAGGTGACATTGTGGCCATGTTATGCCGCCAGTACATCTCCCATGTTTCAAATTATTTGGGCAAATTTGTGCATGAGGGAAACTTTCATTTCAGATGGTCAAAAGTTGACACTGCAAGATATCAGGTCATCGGTTCCCAATATTGCACAGATCGATGCTCATGCTGTTGATCACTGGATTGTCTGGTCCAGACTCAATTTTCTACAGACCACTGCCATATAGCTGTAATATTGCTGAGTTCGGCACTAAACAACAGACAAACCAAGTCATTGCAACTTGGGCCTTAATTTCCGATGATACTGTGATGCAATTAAATGATTTCAAACCCAGAATCGTAAATATCAGTTTCATGAACAGTCAAACTATAATCCAGTCGTCGTTGTCATTATAAATCTATCAAAGCACCAGATGTTGCAAATGTTGGCCTAATAATATTATGTTTCATAATTGCACTGGTATCATTGATACCCAATGTGTGATAAATACAACAACTGGTTGTAATGTTTTACACCACTTTAATATTCCAGCAACATCATGGCAGGGAAACAGCAGAAATGGGCTTCACACATTGGACCCATATGGGGAATCGAACCTGGGTCTTCAGCGTGATGAGTAAACGATTTAACCATTAGGCTACCCCACTGCCACATAACAGTGTCAATAATACCCCAGGTTTTACCGATTTCAAATTCAAATTCATTATTCATCAGGTTCATAACACAATATGTAATTACATGAAAAAGCAAACCTATTTGTATTATTATTAAGAGAAATTTTATGATTATTATGATTAATTAAATTCTAATTGATAAAAGGCTAATTCAGTTCTATCAAAGTTTTAATTGCCTTCTGAACTTTTTGATAATGTGCCTTGTGCCAGGAAGTTTGTCATTGCAGTAATGTAACACAATAAACACCTACAGTCAGGAACTACTAGAGTTATCTCCCCTAACGGTAGAAGTAACATAGTGTTCCTTGTAAGCATGGCAGAATATGAAGATGACCACTAACTACAACCATCCATTCATTCAAAACTCTTTTGTTTGTGTTTGTTGTTTTCTTTGTATTTGTTATTTTGTGGTTATTTTTGTCTTCTTCTTTTTTTTGGGGTGGGTGGGTTTTTATTATTAACGCTATCGAACAATTTGTTTACAATAATTGATAACTGTGTGTAGCGAGAGATTTTATAAGTTCGAATTTTAGTCCTTTCATCATTTTTCACTATTTGTGTCGGTCCATGAGAGATACATTTATCATCCAATATTGTGTTCCACAGGAGATATTGCTTGTGTGAGATCATACGATATCTCCTAGGAGATATCATTTGACAGTATATTTTGTACAATGCCCTGACACTATGATGTCCTGACAATTATATCAACACTTGTTGATAAAAGTTAAAATATCCTTGGCAAGCCTCGGATATTTGTAACTTTATCAACTCGTGTTGATATAATTGATATCAGTAGACACTTGGGTGAGATTCTTTATGTATCACAAGATACCATCCTATAGTCAGCTGTTCTGCCCTCCACGTCAGACAGGGACGCATTGCAAATACAACCAAGACTATATGAAACAAGCTGTTTACACAGTGGAATTACTAAAACAAAATTTTGTGTACGTGAAACGTGAAAAAGTTGCTTAACTAAATGTTAACTAAATTAAGTTCTCGCCACTCCGACCACCAAACTAAATATGATACTTTTCTTGCCACTCCGACCACCAAACTAAATATAATACTTTTATAAACTACATAAACTAAATAAGTTATCTGATAAGTTACACAACTATAATTATCCCCCGCAACGCGTTTTGCAGGGGGTATTAAAATGGACTCCATCCGTCCGTCCGTCCGTGCACATTTGTCTTTTCCGGAGCAGAACTCTAAAACTGTTCACTATTTCTTCACCAAACTTGGCACATACATGGATCTGGTAATGTACTGGTGCCTTTTGATAGTTTTGGAATTCTGAATTAAATATTTTTGTCGTTTCCATGGCAACAAGTTCGACTGACTGAAATTAGTGGTAGTGCTCTTTTCCGGAGCAGAACTCTAAAACCGTTCAATGTTTCTTCACAAAACTTGGCACATAGATTGGTCTGGTGGTGTACTGGTGCCTTTTGGTAGTTTTGGAATTCTGAATAAAATATTTTTGGCATTTCCATGGCAACAAGTTTGACTTAGCCTGAAATTGGTGATAGTGCTGCTTTCTGGAGCAGAACTTTAAAAACCTTTCAATACTCTCCTTCCACTTTTCTATATACACACCTAAATATTTGACATAATCATAACTCGTAGACATAATCATGAAGAGTATTTTGCCATTGCGGGGGATATTGATGACTTTGTCTTCTTGTTCTAAATTGTTTAGTATCTAAACTATGCCTGAATATGGCCAACTATTTGTATAATTCACGACCAGTACGATTCTCACTGATCACAATTCTCGACCATCCACCGAGCCATCAGAAGCCCATGTGCTCGTCGCTGCACATGCAGAAAGTGACTGCACGAGGCGTTACGGTTGCGTTTTGATGCAACATTCATGGTTCTTGTAAAGATGTGTTTTGGCTATGTTTTTTTACCTATCAGATAACAAAAACCAAAGAAACTAACTTTTTCTCCAGAACACAAGCTTTCACTCCAGGCTACCTGTGTTGCATCAAACCTATTAAACCACCCACCCACCCACCCACCCAGATAACAAAACCAAAGAAACTAACTTTTTCTCCAGAACACAAGCTTTCACTCAAGGCTACCTGTGTTGCATCAAATCCTATTATTACCCATAGTTATCTCTTCGTAGAAAATGCAGAAACGTGAGGCTTCTCAAACATTGGCAGTGTCATCAACACATCCAATCTTTGAGTGAGTGAGTGAGTTTAGTTTACGCAGCTTTTAGCAATATTCCAGCAATATCACGGTGGGGGACACCAGAAATGGACTTCACACAATTTATCCATGTGGGGAACTGAACCTGGGTCTTCGGCGTGATGAGCGAATGCTTTAACCACTAGGCTACCCCACTGCCTTAGTCTATCTTTGAAATGATGTTGTATAAAATCATTAATCAATAGATAATGCCATATTTAATTTCTGATGATGCATTGCTGTGACAACAGGTATATCTCAGTTTATGCACTGTCTGCAGCAGAATTGGGTATTATCTTTATGTTGTCATGGTAACAGTATGCAAAGCAAGCAATGTTAAATTTGTTTAAAGTATTATTGTTGTCATGGTTACAGACAGGCAGGAACTCCAGCACACAAGGCAAGAGATCTCGCATGTGTTTTTAGCATCAACGTTGTCATGGTGACAGGCTGTTCTGAACTCCAGTTCACAAGGCAGACCTTGTATGTGTTTATAGCATCATTGTTGTCATGGTTACAGGCTGTTCGGAACACCAGTACACAAGTCCAGATGCCTCCATTGTATGAGTTGAGGATCTACAACATCTATCCCAAAGATATCAAGTCCTTCACTGAGCTGTCCATTAAATGGATGCACCTCCGTACAGCCAAGTCCAAGTTGCTGGGCTACTGGCTCAGTGAGCTTGGTGGCATCAATGACGCTGTACACATCTGGGAATATGGTAAGGTTGCAGGAATACTGATAACACCACCGCGTAACTCCACTTTGATGATTATTGTTGTTAAAGTGATTCAACCTGGGAAGATCTGGGTTAGAATTGGTTGTCTTACATACATGCATGCATGCATGCATACATACATACAAACATACATACATACATACATACATACATACATACATACATACGTACATACATACATACATACCTACCTACCTACCTACCTACCTACCTACCTACCTACCTACCTACCTACCTACCTACATACCTACCTACATACATACATACATACATACATACATACATACATACATACATACATACATACATACATACATACATACATACATACATACATACATACAAATATACTTGTATAGCGCTCAAAGGCGCTTTGGCTCTAAGATGGTATTGATATCACATAGAGTTCAAATGCTTCACCAAAGAGACAAGTCTTTAGATTTGATTTAAAAACAGCTAACTCTGGTTGTGTTCAGAGGTGAGATCGAAGATTGTTTCAGAGATGAGGGCCAGTCATCTCGAGTGACCTGTCACTATATGTTTTTGTCCTAGTCACAGGAATTGTCAAAAGACACAGGTCATTTGATCGGAGGGAACGAAAGGAGTATAACGGTGGAACAGATAACGTAGGTCCTGATGGTAATGGACGGGAAGCCAATGAAGTGAGTGAAGAACGGGAGTAATGTGGTCTGATTTCTTTGACTGAGAGAACCACTCTGGCTGCAGTATTCTGCACCTTCTGAAGCTTGTGTATAAGATAATTTGGGAGACCCACAAGAAGCGCATTACAGTAGTCAAGATGAGATGTTACATATGCCTGAATAAGAGATGCTGTAGTCTTGACGTCCAGGTATCGTAGAATCATGCCGATGTTGCGATGTGTCTTCAGGAACCCATGCTTGTCGTAAGAGGCTACAAATGGGATTGAGTGGTCAGGCTTGCTGACTTGGTTCTTACATGTCATTGTATCCCAATTGGGTAGATCGATACTCATGCTGTTGATCACTGGATTGTCTGGTCCAGACTCGATTTATATAGCTGGAATATTGCTGATTGCTGCGATAAACAACAAACAAAGTGATATAGGTCTGAGCGTTTACCACTTTGGTGAGTGTGTTTAGTTTTATGCCGCTCTTAGCAATATTCCAACAATATCACGGCGGGTGACACCAGAAATGGGCTTCACAAATTGTACCCATGTGGGGAATCAAACCGGGGTCTTCGGCGTGACGAGCAAACGCTTTAACCACTAGGCTACCCCACCACTCCAACACTGAAACCCATGAGCACTGGTATGGTGCCAACAAACATAGATACATAAGTAGAGCCAATCTAGGAATCGAACTCAGGATTCTAGGAGTCTGATATGCCAAATATACACAACTTTGCACATCAGTTTCATGTTCCCCACACCGCCAGTGTCCAGTTCAGAGGTTTTCAATAGGAGCGACATGTTGGTGTAGGTTCTAACACCATTGTCAGGTAAGTGATATAAAGGAGAAGTCCTCTAGTTGAATGCTACATGAATATTCCATCTAAATTATGATGGTTTGTAAATACTTACGTAGACGATAAAGCTACTCTGTTTTCAATTTTGCAGTCCTTTATCGTTGATTTAAATCAACGATAAAGGACCGCAAAATTGTAAACAGCGTAGCTTTATCTTCATTCTAGCATGACTGCTAGAATAGACAATCAAGTGATTGACATCATGAGCATCTTTACAGTTTGGATACAATGACATACATCAACCAAGCCTGTAAGCCTGACCACCCAGTCCCATCAGTTGCCTCTATTATCTAGATTTCTGACATTTTGTGCTTTGGTTGCAGAAAGTTTAAGTGATCGAGCACGTGTTCGAAAGGAACTAAGCGCAGATGAATCCTGGGTGACAAATTATATAGCAGCAGTAGGTCCGATGTGGCGCCGACAAGAGAACTCCTTGCTCACCTTGAAGCAGGGGACTCACCTCAATATCAGCAACGTCACAGCTGGGGGTAAGTCCATGTGTGTTAGCAATGATGAGTCAGACTAGTATGGCTAAAAATGCATCCTGTCGGGAAGTGAACGTAAAATCTCCATCATCATCATCATCATCATCATCATCATCATCATCATCATCATCATCATCATCAGACTAGTATGACCAGTCACACACATACACATGCCCATTGCCATATTAGTGCAATAATCTTGAATACAGCATTTGACCTCATACTACAATGGAGATATGTTACACTGGATAACCTTCAATGATAGATACTGTAATTCACATTGTTGTAATTTGAACACACCTGGAAATTCCTTGATGCAACTTGACATTGTATGCTTCTGTTGCAGGTGTGTATGAGCTGCAGACACTCCCAGATGGCAGTAGGGTAGGATCTCTGTTGCCAGGGACGACACTGTTAGCTGCATTCCAGACAACGTTTGGACAGGTCCATAAAGGCGAGTGTACTATTGGCTAGCGTTATGTACATTGATGCTCATGACATCAATCACTGGATTGCCTGGTCCAGGCTCAATTATTTACAGACTGTGCTCATGTAGCTGGAATATTGCAGAGTTTAGCATAAAACAGCTAGAAATTTAATTAAAAATACATGTACATATGACGTGGAGAGTGAGAGATTTTATGGAGTATTTTAAGGAGAGGGTGATATTATGGAGAGTTCATGGCATTATGAGGAGAGTGTGATATTATGAAGAATTCTTGACATTATGAGGAGTGTGTGATATTATGAAGAATTCTTGACATAATGGGAGCCTGTGATATTATGAAGAGTTCTTGACATTATGAGGAGTGTGTGACATTATGAAGAGTTCTTGACATTATGGGAGCGTGTGATATTATGAAGAGTTCTTGACATTATGAGGAGAGTGTGACATTATGAAGAGTTCTTGACATTATGAAGAGTTCTTGACATGTGTGATATTATGAAGAGTTCTTGACATTATGGGAGAGTGTGATGATTATGAAGAGTTCTTGACATTATGGGGAGTGTTTGACATTATGAAGAGTTCTTGACATTATGGGGAGTGTGTGATATTATGAAGAGTTCTTGACTTTGTGAGGAGTGTGTGACATTATGAAGAGTTCTTGACATTATGAGGAGCGTGTGATATTATGAAGAGTTCTTGACATTATGAGGAGGTGAGATATTATGAAGAGTTCTTGACATTATGAGGAGTGTGTGACATTATGAAGAGTTCTTGACATTGTGAGGAGAAGAGTTCTTGACATTATGGGGAGTGTGTGATATTATGAAGAGTTCTTGACATTATGAGGAGAGAGTGATATGAAGAGTTCTTGACGTTATGAGGAGTGTGTGACATTATGAAGAGTTATTGACATTATGAGGAGTGTGTGACATTATTGCGAGTTCTTGACATTGTGAGGAGCGTGTGATATTATGAAGAGCTCTTGACATTATGGGGAGAGTGTGACATTATGAAGAGTTCTTGGCATGGGGAGTGTGTGATATTATGAAGAGTTCTTGACTTTTTGAGGAGAGTGTGATGTTATGGAGAGTTCTTGACATTATGGGGAGCGTGTGACATTATGAAGAGTTCTTGACATTATGGGGAGTGTGTGACATTATGAAGAGTTCTTGACATTATGAGGAGTGTGTGACATTATGAAGAGCTCTTGACATTATGAGGAGTGTGTGACATTATGATGGGTTCTTGACATTATGAGGAGTGTGTGACATTATGAAGAGCTCTTGGAATTTTAAGGAGTTAACATTATGGGGAGTGTGTGATATTATTAGGGGTTCTTGGAATTGGAGTTAACATTGTATGAGTGTATGATATTTTAAGGGCTGACATTTTAAGAGCTGAGTTTTATTTACCATAATGAGAAGTTCTGAACATTAGGAGGAGTGCAAATGTAACACTTAGATGGTGTCTAGCGACCCATTCAACAAAGTAACCTTACTTTAACACAGGCTTATGATAACCTTAATTCTAAGATAACTTTGTGGAACGAGGCCCAGGCTAACTATCATGTTCAGATCAAATACTGTTAATTATGTTTCATTACTTTGGTACAGAACATAAAGAATTTTCAATCTCTAAAAATACTTGTTTTCAGAAAGTAGAATGTACAGATTTTGTCCATAGCTTAAGGCACAGCCAGGGTCCCGTTCCTGACAGCGATCGTAGCGCTACGACTGTCGTAAGTCTATGTTTAAGTATTGGAGTTACGATCATGATAGCGCTACGACTGTCGTAATTCTATGTTTAAGTATGGGAGTTACGATAATCTTAGCGCTACGACTGTCGTAAGTCTATGTTTAAGTATGGGAGTTACGATCATCTTAGCGCTACGATTGCTTTATGGAACAGGACCAGGTGACCAGTACGGCATGAAAATTTTATATTTCTTGGAATCAAAAGATATATGTATTTATATTGTTTTTACTGTTCCTACATCAGGAGAATATACAACATTGTTGAATAGGTTTGAGAAATATTGATCAAGGCAGAGGCCCTGATAAGCTACGTATCCAGGTAAAATATGCATTGAAATTTTCCAATTACACATTGAAAAATAATTGTTACACTCACCACGCATTTAAAATGTTAGATACACAAAAAGTTTATAACAAATACGCATCGAATATATTTATAAAAAAGGATTTCACAGTTTTATGATTGTTGTGATATTTCATGAATATTTCGACTGTTGCATCATGCTTCCATGGATGATGCAGTCCAGGAATATTCGCTGCAGTCTTGAAGGTAAAGCTGAACAGAGTGTTAGGGGGCACAGTAGATCATTAGTAGCTGTTTAGTAATATTACAATAATATTTTAATACCATTTAGTAAATTTGTAATATTGCTAAATTAATTAGTAAATATTACTTGCTCATTTAGTAATGCTAAAACTTCATTTTGTAAACAATTACCAATACATTTTGTATTATGCCACATTTATTTTGTAATATTACAGAATCATTTAATTTTACTATTTAATTATCCACATGGTGACATCATTAAATGAATTATTACTATTACAATAAAGATACTGTGGTACATTTTCCCATTGTGTAGTAGTATAATTAGGTAAAAACTCTGCATAACTTGAAATTATTTGCTTTGAAAAAGGTTAACAGGCAATTCCACATGTTTTTGTGTGTAGAGCAGAGATTGTCAATGTAGAGTTATTTCCCTTTGTTCAGTCAGCGGACATGAAATCCACTCGTCTTACTGCTGGTGGAAAGAGGGCAGAATATGATGAAATATTTTGTGATGATATATTAGTTTATTGTGTAATGGTAAATAGGTTTCCAGCAAAGGTTCGGTATATCTGACCCTCAAATACTGCTTAATATTTGCTAAGGATCAACCTCTCTTCAATACAAAGTGTGTTCCTTGGCTAATGTTGAGTACTATACTTGTGTTTATGAAGAGCACTTCCTCAAGCTTGTTGAAGTTGTCTGACTGTCATTGTGATGAACTAAATATAGTATGGTCTGTTACAGTTCCTGATTAAGTAGTCTCAACAGCACCTCAGTGACCTCAGTAGTGGTGTTCCGATTAATTGAAATAATCGAAGATTGGTCGCAGTGACCAAACGACCAAGCAATCGATCACAATTTCTCATAAACTCTTTGGAACTACTGTTTTAGTCTTTGAAAAACTTGACAATGGAACATATCCTAGAAGTTGTCAGGGCCTGAAAACGTGTTTAATTCTTAGAAAACTCACTTCACTAACTGAAAAGCCATGACTGAATGTTTCTCTAAGACTCTGGGAAGTTTATGTTCATGATATATCAACATCACTTTAAAGTAGCAAGGTGCATCATGTTATACATATCTGCAATAGCAACCTGAATAGGAAAATCTGAAAATTGACGCTAACCAATTTTTATTGATGATTGTTCGTTGGTAATGAACCAATCATCAATTGTGAGATTTCAACCAATTCCCAACACTAGACCTCAGTATATTGTTGTAGAAACACTGGAATAAATTTGGACTTATTTCAGGGATTAAGTGAAATAGTCATGTTTACCTATTTGTTTCAGGTGTGTCAGGTGACGTAATTACACGACTCATGTCCCCAGCGCCCTGGTCAACACTACAGTAACCATGGCAACATACTGCTGTAACTAGTATTTACAGCTTGTAACCATGGTAACAATTTAACTACAGCAATATACTGCTGAAACTATGGACGGAATTATGGACACAACCATACAAATAAAATAATGTTACATTTTTTTAAAAAGGGAAAAAATACTGGCTACATGCAGTATTGTTACTATGGCAACGAAGATGAAATAACTTGTTTTAATCAGATGATTTAGTGAAAGCATGATCTTTGGAGGTAACATCAAACAGATAGAGGTCAGTGTCTACAAACTGTAAGAGCATGTGAGTGGAGCTTTGCATGCTGCCTGAGTTAAACAGAGAGAAAACAAAGAGCTATTGCATAATAACATCAATAAAGTGCTGTCTTCAAATTGCCAATACTAAAACAGAATGGCTGATTATGTGTTTTGCTGCAGGTGCTTCTGAAATTGAGAAAAAAGAAGCGCTTTGAGCACCCACTTAGTGGTTGGATTTAGTGCTGTATAACTTTCCATAATTATTATTATTATTAAATCAGATTGCATTTAGCTAAAGTTTCTTATTCTGTCCCTTTTCTCATCTTTTCTTTTCTGTTTTCTTCCCTTCCCATCTTTCCTATTCTTTACTTCTCTTTTCTCTTCTCTTTCTCTTCTTGTTTCTTCCCTCTTCTCTTTTCTTTTCTTTCTTTTCTCATCTCTCTTTTCTTTGCTATTTTTGTTTCACTTCTGTTTCTCTTTCTGTTTTTCTTTTCTTGTTTCTCTGATTGTTTTGTTGTCTTCCCTTCCTTCCCATGTCATCATTTATATGATTGCTTTGTTTTCCCATGTTAATGATTGCTGTTTGTTATCCTTCCCATGTCATCATTTATATGATTGCTGTTTGTTAACATCCTTCCCATGTCATCATTTATATGATTGCTGTTTGTTAACATCCTTCCCATGTCATCATTTATAATGATTGCTGTTTGTTAAACATCCTTCCCATGTTATCAAACATTCATCATTTATATGATTGCTGTTTGTTAAACATCCTTCCCATGTCATCATTCCAATGATTGCTGTTTGTTAAACATCCTTCCCATGTCATCATTCCAATGATTGCTGTTTGTTAAACATCCTTCCCATGTCATCATTCAAATGATTGCTGTTTGTTAAACATCCTTCCCATGTTATCATTCCAATGATTGCTGTTTGTTAAACATCCTTCCCATGTCTTTCATTCCAATGATTGCTGTTTGTTAAACATCCTTCCCATGTCATCATTCCAATGATTGCTGTTTGTTAAACATCCTTCCCATGTCATCATTCCAATGATTGCTGTTTGGTAAACATCCTTCCCATGTCAATATTCCAATGATTGCTGATTGGTAAACATCCTCTTCCAATATCCAGAGTATTATGTCTGTATTGTGCATCATTACCCTGCCCTAGAAAGCCACAATAACTCCCAGTCTAGCGGGAATAACATGCTGCTAAAAATTGCCATCCAATCAAATAACACTGAAAGTGGCTTACTTAAGTACTTACAAATCTCAAATATGACAATAGAGCTTCCCCTGAGATAATTCAGAAAAAAAATCTATCAAAAGTTCATGTGTAAATTCTTGTAAGTTCCTTTTCGGCCTCAGACTGCCATTTTGAAGGTTTATCTGTGCCAAGTCCTCATCCTGAAGGATCCTTTTGTTTGTTGTTTCCAGACTCATGTATGGGAGAATTTAGTGTTAAGGCCAGACCAATTTTATTTCTTGTTTTATGGATTTTTGTCCTCAGAAAACCTAAAGGCATGAAGGAGAAAATAAAAAATAAAAATCACCTGTCAAAGTAATAGTCCTTTTAAATACTAAAAGTATTTTATTTTTGGCAATTTATGAGTGGATATGGGGCAAAAAACAATCCAAAAAAATTTCTTGTAAGTTTACATTTTTGGCCAATAAAAACATGAGGAGTTTATTTTTTGAGCAGGGAAAATTAATTTGTATTTTTGTTCTTATTCTTGAACAAATATAACTGGAGGATCCATAAAACAAGAAATAAAATTGGTCTGGCCTAATGATGAGATTGACTAAGATGAAACTGTGATGGTGAATGAGATCATGTTTTTCAAAGCATTTGATAGTCAAAGATGACATTGTATACCAAACAAAAAATAGGTACGGATCTTTAATATTTGGGGGAATATTTTTAATATTGAAGATTTTAAAAAAATTAATAAAAGGTATCCCACAGAATATTCAATATTGCTAATATTTGTTGTTTAGAATTAATAGATGCTGACCTTTGGTTGTAAAGCAGTGCTCCTTGAGACATTGAACATGCTGGACAGAAAAAGTCGCCATTCCTACTTACATAAGCTGGAAATTTGACAGAAATTTCTGTACAATTCAGGCCAATCGGGTAGCCTAATGGTTAAAGTGTCCACTCATCACACTGAAGACCTGGGTTCGATTCCCCGCGTCGGTGCAATGTGTGAAGCCCATGTCTGGTGTCCCTTGCCGTGATATTACTGGAATATTGCTGAAAGCGGCACAAAACTATACTCACTCAATGCTGCACAATGCTATTATGGGGAACAGAGCCAGAAAGTATTAGACATGAGAAAATTCTGATTTCATAAATCTCTATTAAATAAATCATTACTTCTAGTTATGTTGTAACCTGAGCTGTATGAGAATTTCCATGCCCTGCTTGTGAAACAGTCATGATTGGATCATCAGAAAGTCTTTAACTGCCCAAACTTGAATCTTGAATCATGAATCTTCCCCCTTGACCTATTTTACAAACAACCCTAGAATGCATTAATGTATATTTTTGTTCAGTTGAAATGTTTTGTTATTCAGAGCCAGCTTGTTTTATATGCAATAAAATTTCATGTTGTATGCATGTAGTTAATATAAAGGTGAATATTGATGTTGTATGAAGTTGGAACGGAGCTGAAATAAACTCAGGAGTTCTCTGATGACCTCAAAGAAATATACACCTGTCTGCATCAAACTTCAGGCAGTGATTTACGGCGGACATCAGCACGATATGAAAAATTGATAGACCAGGTGCTTTTTTAGAGGACTATAGATTTCTTTTCATAATCTGCTGTCATGATCGCTATCTTGAGGCCTACATTTCTTTTAGTGTTTCCAAGAAAATGATTTGACGTGCTGATAGTGGGAAGATAGTTCGGGCAAGTCAGTTATCTACAGGTTTTCATGTGTTTTGTTTCTGCCTGATACAGTGAAAATACATGAATCAGGATTAGATATGGTCAGATGATGTTTTTTGATAGAGAAGATTTGCAGTATCTTTGGGAGATATAGAGACAGAAAGAGTGTCACCACAATCAAGAATCACGTGATAATGCAACACTATTTCTTTCTACTTGGTTGATAAAAGAGCAAAATTTGTTTGAAAATGCTGTTTCAGGCTTTTAGGTGTAGATTTATCAAAGAGTTGTAGCTTTCATAATATTATTTTTTTATATTGGTTTGATTGACCTCCAAATTGGCCAAAACAAATCAGCGCATTAGAAAAATTGAATGTTACACAATATCGCTTCAATGTGATAGATGAAACAGATGTTCCATGGCAACCAGATTTTTAATTCATTTTTGTAATCAATGATATTACCATTACACAATATCAAGTGCCTGTTTGTTACAGTCATGTTGAAGTATCTGCAGTTCTCATTATATGAACTGTATGGCAATATTTTACCATATAATATGTGTTCATCCTAAAACTAATAAAATAAGTATTATATATAAACAGATTATAGGAACCTCTATGTTTTTGTTTATTTAAAATGTTGGATTTACCTCATAACATACTCTGAGCAAATGGTCTTGAATACAAGCTACTTGTCATACATACGTACGTACGTACACACACACACACACACACACACACATACATACATTTGTATAGCGACGATATCCAGTACAACTGGTCAAAGGCGCTTTGTTTTCCCTCGATCATTGGATATCCATCACAACGGCACATCGTATTTTTCAATCTCAACTCCCTGGGGAGTATACAACTCTTGCAGCCACTAGGCGCACCGAGTTAATGTGTCTTTCTCATCCTTACGAGGTACCCATTCACGGCTGGGTGGACTAGGATACATAGTCACAGTACTTTGTCCAAGTTCACTGCATGTTGCTGTACTCGCAACTAGATGTTTGCACGTATCCATGTGGCCACCATCTGGTCATATACCAACGGATACGTGGGTTCTTTTAAGTGCACAGTGTTGTGTACTGTACACTAGGGGTTGTGACAACACTGAAAGAGTCTGCACACTAAGTTGACTTGCTTGTCGTAAGAAGCAACTAACAATACTGGTGGTCACTCGCTGGCTTGGGTGACACAGTCATCATTTCTCAGTTGCGTAGATCAACATTCATGCTGTTGATCACTGGATTGTCTGGTCTTGCTGACTTGGTGGACACATGTCATCATATCCCAATTGCATTGATCAATGCTCATACAGTTGATCACTGGATTGTCTGGTCCAAACTGGATTATTTACAGACTGCCGCCATATAGCTAGAATATTACTGAGTGCTGTGTGAAACTAATAAAACAAAATATACAGATTGCTCCAGTAATGAATCCTTTCAGACGGGGTTAACCTCTTGGTCATGTGGACAAGGTGTCTGACCTTGTATCAGATGATCTGTTGTTTGAATCCCATTATTTGGCCTTGGACATTTTACATTTGTAATATGGTACTTGTTGGTCCCTGCCTGGCGCTCCGCATTAATGGGTACAACAAGGACTGGTCGGCTCGGAGTGCGTATAATGTGTCTGAGTGGGGTATTCATGCTTCACTGCGGAACGGTATCTCAGTGGGCTAGCACTATAAAACCAGCTTCAGTCAGGGCTAGTACAAGCAGCCGCACATACACATACACACGCATGCACGTCGTCATATGAGCGAAATATTCTCAAGCACGACGTTAAACCCAATTTCACCTCACCTCACCTCACATTCGTGCCAGTGGAGTTGAGAACACGAAATTGAAGCAAAATAAGTTTAGGATCGGTCATCAGATGTCTGTACTGGCAGTGTGTGCAGGATGTGTACATCGCCAATACCAACTGCCAAGTTGTCTAATAAAATGGATATTCTTTACTCATACTTTCATAACTGTGGGTAATATTCCTT